GAACTTTCCATAGGAAGAACAACCTCTCACAACCACGTCAGTCAGATAAGATGTCTTGTGAAGTAAACCGATCACCATAAAACAATCCTCAAATCAAACACCTGGTAAATCAATGATTGGTTGTTTGTCAGTCTCAACAAATTGTTCCCAATATTTGGAGTTCTTTTACTAAGAATAAATCCCATTAAATTTTATCAAGACACAAAAAGACATTGATAAATTTGGTACACTCTTTGTTTACCWTTTATTTGCAGATTAATATGAGACAAGTTATTGTAGAGTAGGCAATGATGAAAAGAATGCTTCAGGGATGAAATAACACAAATAAATATCAATAAAATGACCAAAATTGGTACCATTAATATAACAGMTCTAAGGTACCCATTTGATCCAGATAAACTTTAATGATGCAGAAGAGTTTGAGCATAAAACGAAACAAAACTCTGATAATGGGTTTTGGGGCAGAGATGGACAAACAGATTGGTCACATCATGTGGAGGCGGAGCTTATAAGACTGAGTTTACTTGAAACTCTCAGACTGAAGAAGTCTGTTGGAGGAGAGACGAAACRTTTCATTAGAGAAGAACCCGTCTAGAGGAGCAACTTGTTTTATTCTTTTTGGTTAAAAGGAAAAGATTGTATGTGACATGGTTAGGACTAGGGTTGAGTGATATTGGCCAAAAAATTAATCACAATTAATTGTGGTATTTAGCCAATAACAATTAATATGACAATTAATCCCCTGGAGTCACTGCATGCCTGCATGTCCTGACTGCACTTCTTAATGAAGTACAGTAAGTACAGTCCTTCTGTGTTTGCAGGAACATGCTGCAGATCTTCTATAAGTCTGTTGTGGAGTGATATCTGTTCTACCATCATCTGATGAAGTAGCACCAGAGCAAGTGACCTTTAGAAGCTCAACAAGATCATTTAAAAAAGGWTGATCTGGTCTTGGGACTCCTGTAGAACCTCTAGAGATGATTGTTTAAAGAATGATTCTTTATAAAATGAAGATCTTTATGGACAACCCCTGAGCACCCTCTTCATCAGAATGTCTTCAGATCTGCTGTAGGACTGACTGCCACAGCGATCAGTAACTTTAGTAACTCTTTAAGTAGGGATGCACCGACATGAAAATTTCAGCCGATATCGATATCCRATATAATTATTGTTGTTATGGCYGATAACCGATATTTACCGATATTACACAAACACACAAATTATATTATACATATACGCAAAAACACACTTGGGTATTTTTTGGTACTGTAAATAAACAACCAGACCTCTGACATGGCTCCTTMCTTCAGTTATTCCTGGCTGTGCAGCATCAATATYATTATCACGATCAAACAGATGCTGCTCAACCAACCGTCTCACCTCCCAAAACACAAAGCTATAAAGTGGGAAATTTATGTCGGACGTTAATATCGGGCCTGTTTTACATATCGGACTGATACCGATATTCTAAAAAAGACCAATAACGGCCGATACCGATATCAATATTGATATATCGTGCATCCCTACTTTAAAATGTTATCCTTTACCAGGATATTATGAACAACATTTAATTATCTTTGGGATTAATAAAGTATTTTTGAATTGAATTAAATTTAATTGAAATAAAACTGTTCTTCAATTGTTGAGCAGTTCCAGGTTACCTCCAGACATTGTACTTGATTTGAGGTCATACTATTTAATTTTGGTTTCATCAGACAGGAGAATCCTAATTTTCACAGCCTTTTAGTAACACCGGGTAAAAGTTTGAATGTTTTGCACTGATAAAAGGTTTCTGTCAAGCCAATCTGCCATAAAATCCAAATCAGAGAAAGCCTGCAGTTCTGGTAGCCCTAGTCCCATCTTCACACAGGATTAGTCAGAATGACCATTAAATTCTTAGTAAGTAYTGTTTTTAGCAGAAACCTAAAATAATATGCTACAGACAGGAGTCTCACGTAGCAAGAATGAAAGTCTTTACTGAATCAATACATTCCAGTTGTCCAGTGGTGGGCACCAGACCGCTAAASCGCAAATCYGCTAATTGYGGACYTAAATATKTCATTTGCRYTTTAGCGAACTTACTAATTTTTATAAWTCATAAGCRGATTTGCGCTTTCTAAAATTAAAAWGCAGTACCRCTAATAACTAATTATCTACCAGTCATCATTATGTTGAACAGCAGAAGGTATGACTGTCAATGAATCACAACACATGATCTATCCACCAGCAYCCCTCCCAGATAAACRCTCTTATTGTGAAGGTATACATCCTGCTGACTGTTGCTTTGGGTCACGCTTCTGATTTCCCACAATGCTTTGTGTCTGCTTACGTAGCAGGAAGGCAGTGTTTAGAACTCCCTGTCCCAGCWAAAACAGTTAACGTTTGTAATCCATACTAAAATTTTATATGTATTGATTTATTTTACTTTACAATCAGAGCTCCTTTAAAAAAAGTTTAAACGCTGGAGCTCAAAAGCAATCGGCCAACAGTGTTAGAGACTCAGAAATGATTTAAAGATGTTATGCTGGTGAAGACTGACATCTGGTGGTCAACTGGAGCAACTACATGGAAAATGTCCTAATCAAAAACAAAAAATCAATAGGTCCTCTGGATGATTCTTCTTTAGTGAAACATTTCATCTCTCCTCCAAGAGACTTCTTCAGTCTGATGAGTTTCAGGTGAACTGGAAAACTTTAAAATCCAAGCTCTTATTTTGAAGGGAATATACTAGTTTCCTGTTCCCCGTGCTTTCGTTTCCCGTCAGTCCGTCATGTACCCAGAATGCATCACTTCAGTTTTCCAATAAACAGTTTTAAAATTACTTTATTGATGCTTCTTTAATGAAAAATCTACAACAAACAAAAGAAAAAGACAAAGAAGCAGACGAACTAGCAATCCTCAACAACTTTTTAATTTTTACACCAGGAACTAAAGGTCTGTTTCAGGAAATCACATCCCCATCAATCAGTGGTTGTAGRATTAAGCTGTAAAAGAGTTCATACACCACTAGTTGGCRGTGTTGTCCATATATTGTACATGAATTGTCAGTTAGTAAGTGTCAAATTATATTTGCACTTTAAAATTAGCTTCTGATAGTTTTTCTATGACATAAGTGGTTTTGAAGTTGCAGACCTAAATATTTTTTAAGYTCTTTAGAAATTGCGGAGCTAATTTTTGGATTAGCGCTGCCCACCACTGCAGTTTTCTCTAACTGCACCCACAGCTGTGCCACATACATGTAATAGCATCATCAATATGGATATAATAAACTGACAACTAAATAAAACATTTGAATAAAATACATTTTACTCACCAGAACATATTATCTCTTTACGAAATCCATCCCCTTTTTTATTTTTCCTCAGGAATAATTTGGCGCCTCTGYCATTCAGGTCCTCATGGAGTTTCCATTTTAACAAGTCACCACCATTGTAGCTAACACAAACTCAGATCTGTTCTGTCATATTTTTGTCTGAAGTTTTAATTTTTGTGATGCTGAGAATGCCCACTGGGCATTTAGGTTGTAAGATGCTGCAGAAATCCAGGATCCCGGTTCTGAATTGTGTGCTCTCTGACCAGCCAATCAGAGGACATGAAAACCTCGATGTTGTCTGAGGCTTTCAGGGTCTGGGCTCGTCTCCTCAGCACCTGATAGGTCAAAGCTACAGTTTCACTGCCGTTTGTTTTAACCTCCAGGTGCCTTCGCTGTTCGTTCTGAAGGCCTTCAGGTAGATTTCTTCACTCAGATGATGCTCGAAAYATGATTGGTTTAAAACTCTAAACAAATACAGTCTGGAAGCTGCGCAGCTAGGAGAAAAGATATGACCAATAATAACCAAGTAAAATAAATAATATGCAATAAAATGCAATTCAACCTGGAAAGACTCACAGAGAAAGCCACAGCCGTTAGAGTTTTATTGATATGAATGAATGAATGAATGAATGAATGAATGAATGAATGAATGAATGAATGAATGAATGAATGAATGAATGAATGAATGAATGAATAGGAGCGTGGCACTGGAGCCCTGTGCTGCGAGATGCTGAAAACTGAGGATCATCTTAGGGACAGAGTAAATGTCTCCCCGGTCAGAGGGCAGAGGTAGCCGGACCTTGGTCTGAGGGTGGAGGGTGTAAATATAATATAATACTTTTTTCACTTACTCATTACTCAGTATTTAAAGTAGATTATTATGAAAAACAGAATTAAAATGAGTGGAGCAGAAAGAAAAATAACAAAGTGAGTGCAGTCTGAAGGGTTTCTGAAGCTACTGTTGGTTCAGGCTGTGCACTGAGACCCTCTCCTCTTGTCTTATCAATGTTTCTGCTTGGATTTTCATTTGTTTGCACCAGAAATGGGAGTCTGAACTGGGAAAATGTACATTTTTTACATAATCCAATGAGAAATTCATGAAAATAGATTAGTTACAAATTCATGATTGACCTAGGTGTTGTATGTCAAAATATTTAGCAATATGGTTTTAATCTAYTGATTTTTAAAATACTGATATAAGCCTCTGCAGCAAGTGAACAAAGTGTACCAAGAACATTTAAAAAATGATGTGTAGTGGCTAAGTCACATAAGAGGTTGGTCTGTAAAAGGTTCAAATTTAAGTGTCCATATGTTTGTTGGTTTCATTTTTTTCTGCTGASATGCTGTATTTATTTCAGAAACCAGTCATTTAATTTGTTTTWATGCTGGTTCACTTTTTCTTTGCAAAGTATGACATAAAAATTCAGCTGTAAAAGAAAAATAAATTCTTCTTCATGGTCTTTATAATTTGAAGTTAAACTCATCAAGCAAAGGTTATTTTTATTAGTTAATATCAGCAGTTTTCTCATGTATAAAAGTATAATATAGACTTGGTCTCACCCTACAATAACTGCAACAAACCTTTTACATTTTCAGTTATTYTAGTTGGAATAAAGAAGCAAAGTACTGAAGAGTGATGATCTGGAGGCTTGATGATGTCACTAACTTTACTTCATTGTGTGTTCAGCCCAGGACTGTGGCCGGTTTCAGAGGAACGGTCCGCTATGCTTCAGTTAATGCTCACAAAAACAAGGTCAGTCRCTTTGGTTGTTTAACAGCTACAGAGTTCATTTGTTAAAGCAAGTTTCGTCTTTCATCTTTACTCACTTTGGTCTATGAAATAAAACTAACTTTAATTGGTTTTACTGGCATTTTTTCTTCTGAAAAGTGTTCAATCAGACCCAATGGACAGAAATCTGCCAAATGTTTGATAAAAATAACAAAACAATAATTTAATTTTATTCTGCCAGTTATTCTTCTGATGTTTCAAAGAATGAATTTAATCTGCAGAACTTTGATTTGTCTAATAGTTACATGTAAATTGCTGTAAATTGCTGAATGTGAGCATGTTGTGTGTTTGTTCTTGCAGGAAATGGGTCGACATGATGACCTTTGGTCGTTGTTTTATATGTTGGTGGAGTTCGCTGTTGGACAGCTACCWTGGCGTAAAATCAAGGACAAGGTCAGATGGTACCTTTTTAGCAGAACCTCAAAACTTCCTTTGTTTGCACAATAATCAGWAACAGTGCAGTAATTCTGCTGGATGTCATTTTTTAATCCAGACATCAGTAAGCTGTAATTTACAACATACTCGACACCACAGATATGTTTATTTTAATAATAATTCAATTAGATAAAAACACGACATGTGTGAAAAATATTAATATTTCAAAACAGTTACATAAGTAGTCCACAGTGTTTGTAGCCAGATGTTACTGACATAATAATTTAAAAATGTCCCAGAATTCATTCAGTTCCTTTGAAGAAGATACTACAGTTGAGCCTAACTGGAAGTAGTAAAGCCCTGAAATACTCTGTTTCCAGCCCAGTTTGACTTTTTAACCATTAAAAGATTTGTTACGAGAGCAAATAATAACTAGTGAAACTGCATTTCCTGTGAAAATGCACTTAATAACACTGATAATAACACTYGATAACACTGATAATAACACTTGATAACACTTAAACTGAAAGCTGCTGAAGAAGCTTAAGTCGAGCTGAAAATGTTTAATAGATCAACTGTTAATGCTCGTTCAATTTGAAGCTTAATTTATCAGATAAAAAGTTAAAAGAAGCAGAAAAATGTTGAATTTGGCAGAGGAATAGCTGAAAGCAGCAGAAAGATAGCCAAAAAAGCAGAAAAATGTACAATTAGCAAGAAAGAAAAAGGCTGAAGAAA